AGTCGATTTATTGCTGAAGAAGAACCAGGAGTATCTTCAATACGAACCATAGATGGACAAACCGGACGACGATAACGATGAACACTGGAAAAACAAAAAACCTGATGCGGTATTAACCTCAACACTGACCTCATATATTCCAAAAGACTGGACACTAAGTTCATATATTCCAAAATCCTTATTCTGTTCTTACCTTTGCTAATCTATATAACAAACCCAGGGACGACAATCACCGGACGACGGATACTGTAAAACCAAAAACATGAAAATCTATTAGCCTCGACACTCATTCCAAAAACCTGATACAGAATTAACCTTTTCCAATTCTACGTAGGGAACGCAATTATGGGCCAAGTCCAGCAATTAGAATTTACCTTCTATATTATTAGCCCATTTCACTTCATTAATCAGCCAGAAAGCCCAAAATTGTTAATCAACCCACTAACTAACTTGTAACCAATTCCCGCAATTAACCACCAATTAATGCCAGCCCAAAACAGAGCACTTCATTAAGCGGTCAGGAGAATGAAATGACGAAACTGCCCCGCCGTGAAGCTCTCAGAAGCCTCCAATTTTGAATCCCTGCAAAAGTAACCCATGAATCTGCTTCATAAATTATATAGATGTAGAGGTTATGTGTTGTGTGCCTATAAATAAATGATCTCCTTGTACTAAGGAACATATGAATAAGAAAGCTCTATTCTCCATCTCTTCTTGTGTCTCTACTCTTACTCTTGTGTATGTTCCTCTTCCTTATTATTTCATAACACCACTATGATTCTTATTTTTTTGTTCTCGCTATCCGGATGGTAATTAATGATACGAAGGTAGTGTAGTCACTGATGTGGTTAACGTTTTCTCATCTTCGGATAACTTCATAAGTTGCTAGTTGCTTATTACCAATAATTGAAAGGCAAGTCTTATTATGAGTCTTTAGTGAGTTGCATGATTTTGAGGGCAGACAAATCTAGAGTTCGGGGTAATATGATAAGATGTGAAATATACTATTTTTATTCCTTATGTCATGGAAAGTTCTCACCAATTTGACTTGGATTTGCTTAGTATATGCTCAAATATGCATTTTATAATATCTATAAGTATTTTTACACATATTGTATACCTTTTTGTGCATTTTTTTAGGGATTTCTAGACCAATGCAACATAGAAGATCATCTTGCATGTGTCAATCGGAAGTCAAAAACTCACCTGGAACGGCCCAATTTATTTTCGCGGGCTACAGTGCCAACCTATACCAAATTCAGCGGGAAAAGTTAATCTGCTAACTTGAAAATTCGTTAGTAGATACTAACTGATATCCAAAATACATGAACTAGTATCCAAGTACTAAAGTATCTATAGAGCACAGACTAGTATTCAAAGTTTGCTAACTGATATCCACCATGAATCAACTATTATCCCAAATTCACAAACTAATATCTAGACAAAACAAAATAGTATCCATATAGCACATAATTATTATCCAGATAACACATAAGAGTATCCAGATAACATATAAGAGTATCCATATTGAATACTAGTTGGTTGTTTGTGGATACTAGTTGGTATCTGCTATTTGGATACTAGTTTGTGATGTTTTGAAGACTAGTCTGTGCTATCTAGATACTTAGCAGACTTGGATATTAGTTCATACATTTTGGATATTAGTTAGTATATACTAACGAATCTTCTAGTTAGCAGAATAACTAGGATGAAATTCAGCATACAAGCCGCCGAAACTGACTGAAGCCCAATTTACATTACCTGACGATCAAGAACTGGAAACCACATTGAAAACAAAGAGAACCGTCTTCAACCAAAATTGGAGCGCCAATAATCGGCTTAATTAACTAAAATTGGTTTATTTCATTAGTAGTCACTTAAATTAGTTGAACAGTCAAAGTTCGGTCACTCTCCGTTAACCTCCGTTAGACTCCGTTAATGACGACCGTTAAGTGATGACGTGGCTAACAGAACATCACAGTCAGCATATTTTAGCCCTAAAAAATACTACCTGACATGCCATATCATATTTGCTCGTCATGTCACCCTTCCCTACCCAACCCACAAACCAACCCAATAATCGACGCAACCCCAAACCCGACCCCCTGAATCTGAAAAGTAAAATCGACAACCCCCTGATGCTCGCTCATCTTCCTCCTTTGCTGCGACGGTGGCGAGAGGACCCGGAGACGCAACCACGACTTTTTTCTTCATCTTCTTCTTTACTTTCTTTCCATCCCACATCGCCGATGACCTTATCACCGCCAGGACAGACACCTGACGGGCAGCCCCAGCAACACATCCCAAGCCTCGCAAGGCAAGTGGTTTTCTTCTTCTTGTCGCCGATAGTACTGCTGTTGGCGATGGTGATTGTGGTGGGTTCGCTTGAGTTGGCGGAGAATGGGGAGATGAAGAGGGAAGAGATGGTGGTGGATTTGGGAGGGCGAGAGAGTTGTGGGTTGGGATCTGTTTCGGTTGCTGCTGCTGGGTCTAGCTGATGGCGATGCTGATGATGGGAATGGAAGTTGTTTCTACTGGACCTTCTGAGCCTGATTTGGTCCCCAATTGTGCTGCTCTCTAGGAAAATAGGCATGATTACTGTTATCTGGCAACGAATCGTTGCTCCTGCCACAGGAAAACGGAGAATCCACAAATGAAATCAATTGAAAGACAATGGAGGATGAGAGGACCATGAAGAATGGAAAGTGACCTATCCTTTCTTGTTTCGATTTTACTTTTCAGATTCACGGGGGTCGGATTTGGGGTTGGGTCGATTATTTGGTTGGTTTGCGGGTTGGGTAGGGAAGGGTGATATGGCGGGCAAATCTGACGTGGCGGGTCGGGTAGTCATTTTTTAGGAGTAAAATATGTTGACTGTGATTTTCTGTTAGCCACGTCATCACTTAACGGTCGTCATTAACGGAGTCTAACAGAGGTTAACGGAGAGTGATGGAACTTGGAATGTTCAACTAATTTAAGTGACTACTAATGGAATAAACCAATTTTAGCGACCAAACGTGAAATTTTGTAGTAATTCGAGTAACAAACTTGTAATTAAGCCGCCAATAATCCAATTGAGTTGATTGGTCTGACCGCTAAAACAAGAAGATCGTTATCAATAAGATTTTTTTTAGAGAGAGCCATGTCTTCTTTATGTTTAATTGTTTTTTAGTAAATTTTTTGCAATCAAGGACCTACGCTCGAAGAAGCATATTGGAATGGTTAAGTTACGACATGGCTTGTACAACTTGAATATATTTATCCCAAAGGTGAAGGTAGCTATAATTTGGCAGTCCATATATGGGCGTGGCATGAGTGAGTCGGACGCCAGAACTCTTTTTGAAGCTAATCCACCAAGTTTGTCCGGATAGTATATTGGCATGTATTATGTGGGTCGTTATGGTGTTTTGTTAGTTTAATTAGTCTATAATTAAATTTTTGTTAGCAATGTTGTTCGTAATATTGATTGAGAAGAGATATATGGCGGTCAATATCCAAAAATTTAGTATTTTAACTAAGAAAAGAGTTACCAAATATTAACGATTATAGACAAGTAACTAAGAATTTGATGTATTAAAAATATTTGGCCAATGTTTTGGATTTCGAAAAGTTTGATTAATAATTTAAATTTTTATCAATTTTTGGCTAATAAATTATATTTACCTAAACCCAAGTAGACCAATTGATTATAGGTATGGTATGGGTGACGTATATGAGTTTGGAAGTTTGTAGATGGGTTTGGGTAGAGTATGAATATTTACTTTCATAAACTAAATGTGTATGATGAGTTGGGTATGGATACCCATTTATTCTAGGGCTTTTCTTTCCCATGATGACTAGGAACAGGAAAATCAAAAATTTCACTTCGAATGAGAGAAATAAGCTCGAAGAAAGTGAGAGGAGAGGTCCTCGCATCTGGACCAGCCACTAGCAAATCTATTCATTCCCTCTCAAATGCTTCTCTCTGGCTTTCTTTCCCTCCCATTCTTCCTCTGCAACCGTTTGAAAGGTTGACCTATTCGGGAATCTCCAGGGACCTACCTCCACACCTAGAGGAGCTGTATAAGGCGGGTGTTTTAATTACACATACAAATTGGACAAAAAAAACTTAAGTTATAAATCTAAAGATCTATTAAGTTTAGGTACCAAACTGTAATTTGCTTATGAATAAAACCCATCAAATTTTACCCATTTATTGTCTATTTAGATTTCATACTCAACCCAATTGAGTTGGACAATAAAATACCCATGACAAAAAAAAATTATCATCATAACAAAGTACTCCCATGAATGTTAGTGAACACCATCACAATCACAGAAAAGAACAAAAAAAAGTTACACGAAGTCTTAGGTTAGCAAATTGGTTTCTCAATGCATCACAATAGGTTGATAATTATACAAAGTTGATAGGTGTGTAAAAAGAATGACAATATTTAAGATTGGTAAGACCTTTTTTTTTTTTTGAAACGACAATACGTAAGATTAGTAGGGGCCTCTTATTTTATTTTTTGTGAAAAATGTATTTTATATTAAAATTAACTTTAGGTATGAAAATGTAAAATGTTTATTATAATGACTAATTGGTAATTTTTTAGGCAACAATAACTGGACTTATATACGGAAGATTAGTAGCTACCTCTTATTTTATTTTTTATGGTGAAAAATATATTTTATATTAAAATTCCTTTTGAGTTATCAAAATGTAAAATGTGCATTATAGTAACTAATTGATTATTTTTTAGGCAACAGACTTCTTCTTTATATATAATAATATGATTTCATAAATAGGATAACCAATTTGGATATTATTATAGCATTTTATTTGATTTATTCTCCGCTATTGTAAACATACAAAAAAATTACAGCCACAAAGCAAAGTGGGTGCTCAGCCCTAGGGGGAGAAAAACAATAATCTATCAAGCACACACAGTTAAAATAGCAAACTCTCGCTTCATGTACATAATAGCATGGAGCCTCGTGATTTATCAATTAATTTTTAATCAAGACCTGCTTTGGAGGTCATCCAGCAAGTTTTTATCCACTTGTAACGCCTTGGTGAGGACATAAGGATTGATGGCCGGATTGGAACCGAAACCCGCATTGGCAATAGTGATTGTATCTGGATTTTGGCTGCTTAGTCTGGCAAAAGCGATAGCATTGATATTGGCCACGTTTAATTGGAAGTGAATGAGACCGATTGGAAAGACGAAATCATAACCAACATGTAGAGTTTTTGTGAAGAGCTTGGGAGGGTTGGAGGTGACAAACCCGACATGAAAAGTGCCCTTAACCACCACTAGAATATCGGTGGCACGAGGGAGGGTGTGAGGATGGTTCCAATCACCATAAGGGGCATAGTCGATACGAGCCAAAGAGATGTCAAGAGTGTTAAGCCCTTTCAATAGGTCGAAAAGAAGCAAGGTGACGTTTGAGCCAACCGGATTGGACGAGGAGGAGTGGATGCAACATCATTTCTTTGATTGCTATCCAGCACGTATGCTTTGGGAAAAAACTGGGTTGGGTTTTGTTCGAGATTCATTTCTTGTGGTTAAAGTTATTTTATTTTGGCGTAGGTTTCTCGAACAACCTGCTGTAGGGCAGGAATAGGTTATGAGTATATGGTATCTTTGTTCAAGTGCATTTGGAAGTCTCGCAATTGGGTGGTACGTGTTTGAGCATACACAGTTCTCCTTTGATACATTGGCTATGTAGTTCTCTTTGCCAGGTTCTGATGGAGGGTGTGGTGGAGCTAGCTTCGGTGTCCCTAGATCATGTGCGAGTGTTTGTTATTGGAGCGGTTCGGCCTGGGTCTCATGGGGCTGCTGGATGGGTTATGCAGGATTCGCAGGGCACTCGCTTGGCAGTGGAAGCTCGACTGTTTAATGGTGTTGTAGATCCGTTCTTGGTCGATTTGCTCACGTTAAGAGAAGCAATTCGTTGGTGTGTGCTTCACAACGTCAAACAGGTGGTGTTTGCTAGTGATGCAAAGACTGTACTTGACAAGCTTCGCAATGGTGTGGTATTGGACGTTCGTGGAAGTGCTATTTTAGGCAACATAGCTGTAATGTCTGCTTTATTGGTCGTGTTAGAAATATGGTGACGAAGACGACCCTTTTTTTGTTTCCCAGTTTGGTGGGGTTTGATTTTACATCCTAGTTTACGACGGTAAAACACAATTTTTGCCACTCAATGCAATAATTTATAAAAAGTTATCATTTAAAAATTTTGATGGCTCATTATAACAATACTATAGCCTTTTATTTAATTTATTCTCCGCTATTGTAAACATACAATGGAATTAGCCACAAAGTAAAGCAAGTGCTAAGGAAAAAACAATAATAGGTCATGCGCACACACAGGTAAAATAGCAAGCTCTCGCTTCATGTACGTAGTAGAGTGGAGCCTCATGATTTGTCAATTAATTTTCAGTCTAGAAATGCTTTTGGAGGTAATCCACCAAGTTCTAGTCCACCTGGAACGTCTTGGTAAGGACATCAGGATTGATGGACGGATCAGAACCAAAACCTGCATTGGCAAATGGCAATATTGATTGTGCCTGGATTCTGGCTGCTGAGTCCCGCAAAAGCAATACCGTTGGTATTGGCCACGTTTAATTGGAAGTGAATGAGACCGATAGGGAACACAAAAAATCTCCAACGTGTAAAGTTTTTGTGACGAGCTTGGGAGGGTTGGAGGTGACAAATTCGACATGGAGAGTAAATTGGCGACTTGATGTCTGAGACGGGTGGAGGTAAAACGGCGAAAGCGGGTCTAAATGTCTCCTGGTGCCGACTTGACTCGCGCCAAAAAGGGACTTCTCTTCCTTGTTGCCGTTCATGACTAGACTTCAACCAAAACTTTAAAAAGCTTAATTGACACGCTATGATACCATGAGAAAAATCAAATGGTAACGTGGAATAAAAAATGTACTCGAGGATTTAACGTGGTTCAGCCTCACAGTGTGTGAGACCTACCTATACAGAACAAGGATTTTCTTATTACTATCTCGTGGCCACAGGACATTCAACTCGGGAATTTATATACCCCGAATTACAAGTAATCCGAGCAACGCTCGGAGTAGTGGAGGCGGCTGGGAAGCATCACATCCTGTGGACGGGGCCGACTTCACTCTTCTGGCCCAATATCGTACGTACACCGCTTGAAAAGTCAAATGTTGGAACACTTTCGTACTAACTTTTTTTTTTATTACCCAAGAACGGCCTAGGATAGAGTCAGTAACCAATGGTTACTGACCTGTCAGTAATTAAATTCCGGACCATAGATCTAGGGATGAAATTATAATATGGCTAGGCTGCACGCGGAGTGAGGAGGGACATTTTTGTCCGATTTTTGAAATTTGATTTCTTTCATTGTTTTTTATTTTTTCCAGCATTTATATGTTTGTCTTTAATGGAGGAAAGAGAAAAGCAGACTTCTCTCTTCATCTCTCTTTTCTCTTTCTCTCTTCCAAACTCCTTTTTCAAGATCTAAATCTCCTTTCTTCTCTTGTTCTTCATTTTTTTCTCCAACAATCGATGAAGAAATTGCAGCCTCCCACCTCAAATCCAGTGACGCTCCAAATCCTTCTTCTCTCAAGCTGTTCCTTCCTTTTGTTTTTTTCTTTTCTTGGCCTCAAAATCGATGACGCTCGATATTGTCAAAGAGGGGACAGATCTAGGTGAGTTGAGTTTGCATCTTTTGTGTTTTAGTATTTTTTTGTGAATTAATTCCGATCTTCTTCCTCTTTTTCTTTCTTTTTGCATTTGGTGTTCTTGATTGCGGAGGAGTAAATGAGAGGAGACAGAAGACGAGTTTTTTTTTCTCTTCCTCCTTTTGTTTCCCTTCTTTGAGAATATATATTGATATTACCACACTATATTATATGGTAATGTGTGCTAACTAAATGTATTTTTATAGTCACGAGTTTTATCATGGTGGTAGTAGGTGGTAATCAACACCAGTTTCGAGAAAGAAGAGTTAGAAGACAATGAAGGGAGATAAGAAAGTGAAGAAAGTCGTAATTGTATATATATATTGAGATTACCACACTATACCATATAGTAATGTGTGGTAACGAAATATATTTTTATGAATATCATGTTTTTACTATGATCGTAGAGGGTTGTAATTAGATTTACATGGTTTTACCTTCTCATACCATGTGGTATTATATGATAATTATAATTAATTTGTGGTCCTTTGATTTACCATGTTCTACTATGGTGGTATTGTATGCTAGTTAGATTTATAATTTTCTGTAGCGTGGTTTACCAAGTTATACCATGTGGTGGTAGTTTGATTTGTAATTTTATTTTAGCATGTTATACTATATGGTATGATATGGTAATTAGATTTGTAAATTTCTGTAGCATGTTTTACCACGTTATACCATATGGTATTGTTTAGTAGTTAGATTTTTAATTTTCTTCAACATATTTTACCATGTTTTACCACGTTTTACCATGTGGTATTGTATGGTAGTTAGAATTGTAATTTTCTTCAACATATTTTACCATGTTTTACCATGATAGTAGAAAGTGATAATCATATTTATACTTGTAATTAGTGTTTTTAACACTGTATTATTTAACAAAAAAATCATCATTCAATTTGAGCTAGAATTAGTTTAGAGATAGTTAGGATGATTAGATTTATTATTGTTGTAGCTGGGAGGGAGAAGAAATAATGTATTTTTTCTTTTAATAATAAAATAAAACAAAGAGTGAGAGAGAGGGGAACCAGACAACCAGTGTGGGGTGGGGGAGTGGGATCCGCGTCTGGTCAAAAAGCCAGCGTCAGCGTTAGTGCGTCAGCGTCATCATTAAATAGGGGGTGCAATTTACCTCAGTGCCCCTCCGTTTTTAATTTAAATAAAAGTAAAAAACTGACACGTGGGGACAGATAATTGGATTACTGACAGTTATTGATAGCAAGGATACTGACCTGATCTGATCCCCCCAAGAACCTCAGCATTACGTGCCACTTTCCATACTAACTTTCCTTGCTCCCACACAAATTAAAAAAAAAAAGATTAATTAAATTGCAATTATTTTTGTGTTTTATCAAAATGGTAACTCAAATGATGTAATATATAGGGCTAGTTTGGTGCTTTTGCAGAAGCTTGTAGAAAACGACAACGTGGAATAACAAATGTGGAAGACAGGATTTAATGTGGTATCCTCATTCAGGTTTAACGAGACTAATCTCCGGTGAGCTCGAAAGAGCTCACGACTGACATTTGTATCGTGATCTCATCACTGCTTTCTTGCTTATGACATGACCATAGCTAAGCAATATTTATACACAAAAGACTAGTGGAACTCGCCTGAAATAGCTAGGACACAAGACGCGATTTTGACTACAACAAGGAGACCACTTCCTTGTTGGACACGGTTACTTAATCACCAAGACAACAAGTAACACGCAACACTCCCCCTCAAGCGCGAGCATGGATATTCAACATGCCAAGCTTGGAAAGGAGTTGCTGAAAATGATTGGATCCCAAACCTTTGGTAAACAAATCAGCCGGCTGATCAAGAGTGTCTATTTTGCGAGTGACAACGTCCCGACTGAGCACATGTTCTCGAACGAAATAGTAATCCATCTCTACATGCTTGGTGGGCTCGTGGAAGACCGAGTTGTTGAAGATATGCAAAGCAACTTGATTATCGCAGAATAGATGAGTTGCTGAAGGCGGTGAATGACCAAGCTCTGTAATCAACCAGCGGAGCCAAATGGCTTCACTGATAAGAGTGGCCATGGCACGATACTCTACCTCTTCTGAAGAACGAGCTACTGTAGATTGTTTCTTTGTTCGCCAGGAGATAGGTGCATCACCCAAACAGACAAAGTAACATGTTGTAGATCGTCGAGAAGTGGGGTAGCCGCCCCAATCGGCATTGCAATAGGAAGTGAGTTCCATGGTATTGATGGCTGATAAGAAAAGGCCGCGACCTGGAGCTTGCTTGAGGTAACGAAGCACGCGGACTGAAGCATCAACGTGTGCTTGAGTGGGATTATGGACCGCTTGACTGAGAATATTCACTGCATACGGAATATTCAGATGAGTGACGATCAGATAAAGTAATCGACCAACAAGACAACGATAACTTGATGGATCCTGGGCAGGCGAAGAAGGCAAACGTCCAATCTGATGGTTTTGTTCGATGGGAGTGTGCGCGGGCCGTGTGCCCTCTAGGCCGCAATCAGCAAGAATATCCAATACGTATTTTCATTGGTGAGGATAACACCATGCTGTGAGCGAGCTACTTTGATGCCAAGAAAGTATTTCAACGTTCCCAAATCTTTGATGGTGAATTGAACATGGAGAAATCCTTGACGCCTTGAATGAAACTGGCGTCATTACCAGTGAGAATAACATCATCAACGTAAATCAAGGCCGCAACAAAAGTAGCACCAGCATGATGAATGAAGAGCGGGTGATCCGCTCGACTTTGGACAA